ATCTTTTTCTTTGCCGGTTTTTCCCTCGGGATTTCCTCCTCCCTTTTCCCGTCTGTCGAAGCTGGACCAGAGACGCGCATCGTCGCGCTCGACTTTCTCAAAGGCCACCCCCGTGTGCGCGCTGTCGCCCCCTTTATATGGTAGTTGATAATGGTTCGATAATCGATTTACAGGGGAAGCAATTTGTCTAGGGCGGAAGATTATTTGTTGGGCGATTGAGCAGTTTGACAGTGATCAAGAGTTTGGGCGCCCTTTTCAGGGCAAGATGGGAATGATAGGGTTGGCGCTTTTCAATGATCAAGGGGTGAGCATGGTTTATTTGTTAAGGGTAAGCTTGTGGAAGCGATAGGGAATTAGAAGGAGAGCGGGGATTGATGGGCTTGTGGAATAAATACGAAAAATATGGTCTGTTTGCGATCGGTGCTCGATGGGTGATCGCGTAGAGCACTTGACTGGCGTCCGGCTGACCGGGGTTCGAATCCTCGGTGCGTCGTTTGTGTATTTTCTGATTTTTTCATTTGATTTTCTGATATGCATTCGAATATTGTGATTTTCTTGGGAAATTTAGCGCGACAATGTTATAAAAATTGTGATACTAATTAATTGACTGGAAAATAGCAACAATAATATAAAAAATTAGTATGATAATTAAGTTTCTAGAAAGTAGCAATAACAATATCATACAAAATTAGTATAATTATACGAAAGAAAAAAGGAATCGGCTGGGGAAAAAGCGAGTTTGATAGGAAAATTGCAATAAATTAATTGGTACTGTATGTGTTGTTGTTGATGTATCTACAAGGAAAAAGTATAATCAGAGAGTATAAATATTAATAATCAGGTTTATCAGGAGTAAATCAACAAACAAGAATAATTTCCCAGGAGTTCCACTAATTCAAGAAATTCCAGTGATGAAAAGAAAATCGTTTCCAAAGGTTTAAAAACGTGGAAGGATTCGGAATGGTTAATTAAGCTGCAACGCGTCACTGAAGTTTCAATCGTGCATGCCTGCCGCGGTGTGTAAATCACAAAAACAATGTTCGCGGAAAATTCTGAGGTGTATAATGAACCCCCTCAACCAAGGGAAACTCGATTTTCAAAGAGGGCCACGGGAATGTATTCCGCCGGTGGAAATATTCGGCGCGAAAAATGGGAACACGGTTAAACTGTGTTAGCTTGTTGTTTTCAAGCTCGTTGTTAACGTTATAATTGGGTGAGACCGCGAGCGCGGGAGGGTCGCGAAGAAGGGGGAGGTGTACGCGCGTTGTTGTTCGTCTCTCTCTCGCGTTGATAACAAGTTGTTTGACAGTAATAAGCGTGAAATAAAATTGTGCGTCGTATAATGTCACGGGTGTGCCAACTTTCCGAATGAAAAGAGCGCGAGTGGCTGCCGCTGGGATAACAACAGACCGTGTGCCGCTATTCGCGTAACGGATTCGTAGCCGCGAATTTGTTCCCGATCGTTACAAAAGCCGTTGGAAATTAATGACGGCCGATTATTAGCAACAAAATTCACTGTTAATTACACACGTCTTCTCGCAATATGCGTTATTAATAACATTTTATATGAGCGCACGCGAACGCCGGTCACATTAACTCGAAAATTCGAAACGCTGGTCCA